GTGGTTCTTCTGGTTTGAAATCGCCCACTTCTTATCAGGGAGATGGGTAACTTTTAAATTTAATAAATGGATAAAAATAAAATTCCAATTAATTTCTGTTTGCTGATTCCCAGAATGTCAATATTCAGTATTGATATTTTTACTTGGCTTATGGTTCTGACACTTGATTTACCTATAATATATATACATCTGTAGCATTTAACATTCCTTTGTCTCTGACCATATCAGCAGCTGGATCTGTTTTGGCTTTAATCCAGCCACAGCGTAGAAACAAATACTATTTGCACTTCAACCTTTGCTCTTCCCCAGTAGTTGATTAGATACTCTTTGACTAAGACCAGTTCCTCTTCCACAATCATTTTAACATTGTTTTGGTTGTGAATGTCCATTTTCTTAGTAAAATATTGGAGTGGATGACCAGTTCCTTCCCCAATGGATCATATTTATCTTAACTCTACTCCCATGGCCTCCCCATTATGGGGGCCTTTTTTGGGGAGCTTACTGTCCTGATAGCTGATAGTGTAATTGAAACTCATTATACACCGCTACCACTACAAGGTACTAATTCATGATAGAAATGAATAGGATTGTCCCAGTGGTGAAATGTAAAATTTGTTACTACTGGTTCTGTGGGTGTGGCTTGGTGGTGGTGGTGGGTAATATGACTGAGTGGGCGTGGCCAACTTTTTTTTTTTAACTTTTAAAACCATTTTTTCTACAACCTCTTTGGCTGAAGAGGTTGTAAAAAAAATGCTTTTAAAGCCTCTGACGATCCCAGCTGACTCTCCTGATCAGCAGAAGCTTTTTTTTTAAGCCTCTGACGATCCTACCTGACTTGCCTGATCGGCAGAGGCTTTTTTTTCCTTTTAAAAACATTTTTTCTATAACCTCTTCGGCTGAAGAGGTTGTAGAAAAAATGCTTTTAAAAGCCTCTGATGATCCCAGCTGAGCCACGCAATCATCAGAGGCTTTGTTTTTTTTATTTTTAAAAGCATTTTTTCGGCCAAAGAGGTTGTAGAAAAAATGCTTTTAAAAATTAAAAAAAAAAGCCTCTGATGATTGCGCGGCTCAGCTGGGCAATTGGGGGGGGGCAGGGATTTTTGCTACCGGTTCTCTGAACCACCCGCCTCCATCGCTTCCGGATCGGATGATCCAGTCCGAACCAGGAGCATTTCACCCCTGGATTGCCTTCTGAAGAAATGTTTGGAATGAGCAAGTACATATTTACAGATGTAGTTGAGGCATTGAGATGGTCTTTGAACCTATGACCATTAAAGATTATGGTAAATATTGTATGCTTATAAAATAGAAAGGAGTCCTACAATAATATCAATTAAATGTTAAGGTAACCAGGTATGGCAGAGGAAAAGATATTTCTTCAGCTGTGAAATGACCAGCTGCATTATATTTGTGGTATTCACAAGATGGAAGGAAGACTCTGTGTGGCGGGGGAGGGTGGATGTGTTTGTGTACTCCCTGTAGAATACTATTAAAGGAAATACTTGGGGTCATCAAAAAGGTATGGAGCAAAACAAAACACAGTGATCTTTCACTTATATATTTATAGTAACAAGCATATTTAATATAGAAACCTTTAAAATGATATAGATTCCTGTAATTAAATTTGTGCAACATATTAACAATAAAAGCAGGATGAAATTGATTTTTTTTTAAAAAAAAATGGGCTTAGGAAATTTACATTACTAATTGCATACTTTGGGGAGGATGAATAGAAAATGTCTGTATTTTCCAAATTGTTTGGATATAAAATACATTTTTTTCCAGATGGAGATCTATTTAGAACTCCAGAACAGAGTTAAATATTCTGTGGTTCTTAATACCACCTGCCAGCATCCCAAACTGGATTATGTTGCCTGCATCTACTATTTTATCCTTTTCTCTCTTTCTTCTATATGTAACACAACTTCTATTTATATAATAGCAGCATACATAAATGGTGTCACACAATGAACCACCTACAAATACTGGTCAAGGGAACTAACCTTGATTCTTGAGTAACTAAAAGTCAGCATGATAGCTGCTTCCACCAGATCTGAGAGATACAATATTTATCTTGTTGATACCAGTGGGAGTTTTGCTGATGGTTGCTATGGATGCAGGGCTTCATACCCTGGATATCATGTTTTATTTATTACATAGCAATGAAAATATAGTTTTGTTTTGCATAAATCTGTATGTAGTTCTGCTTTGGGAAGAATGTATATACAATGCTGATTATTTAGAAAAATGCAAATGTACGAAAGTGATTCTCTGGTGTAGATATCTTTGAAGCATTTTATATCCATGAATGTTGTGCATTGATTTTATTCTCCATCTGCACTGGAGATAAAAAAATTGTAAAGAGGATAAAATAAGTATGGCTACTTTGCACATGTACTACAACTCTGAAAGTTACAGATTTGAATATATATAAAATTGCTTCTTGTCAAATCATTCCATCTGTGAAGCCAAATATCCAACTGCATAGTACAAATAAAAAAGAATTACTAGACAGAACTGTTATCTTACTATATTTGAATTTCACCATTCAGAGCAATACAGATAATCCTTGCAACCGCAACTGGGCCAGAATTTTGGATGTATATCATCATGGTCCTAAATGAAAGAACCATATTATTATACTTGATTTTACAACCATTTTTATGATGGTGGCTAAACAAGCCATTGCCAGGAAACATTTTTAAAAGTTAAAAAGCTTTAAAATGTGATCATGAGACTGCAGGACACTGCAACTGGTTATAAATATGAGACAGTTGCCATGACCTTGCAGGGATTAGTACAGCAGCCATAACTGAAGAAAGGCCATAAGTGACTTCTTTTGAGCCCATTTTAATTTTGAATGGTTGTTAAGTGTGTGGTCATATGTCAAAGACTACCAAAGAGTTAAAATTATCCAGCTAAAATAGGAACTGGACCTTTGAGATTAAAAAAGGCCAAGTCAGAATTTATTTCAGATTTGCGATTTTCTGGTTTGGCATCATGATGAGACAGTCGAGATAGCAGGGCTCCATGAATCCCAGCTGATACCTCTTCATTTGGGAGGCCCCAAGGGGCTAAAGTCATCCTAGAGGGGTAATGAAGAAAGGAGGGACCCCTTGCTGATCGAGGGAGAGCAGCTGCTCTCCTGCTCAATCCAAGGCACCCTCCCAACCAATAAAGAAGAGATACAGCCATTATGGCCAGACCGAACCCAGGGAAACTGAAGAAAGAAGCACTAATGAGCTGTTTGTGATGGAGTATTGGAACTGGGCGAGACGACTTTCAACTTCTATCACTAAATAAAACAATTACTGAAAGAAAGATTCTCCAAAGCGTAGAGAAAGCGGCGAGTTAATATATGGAGGTAGATTTCAGACCCAAAAGAGAAATGGAACTGGAATGGGAGACTATTAAGGTTAAACTATAAAAAAGACTGGACTGGAAGTTATAGTATTGTGAAAAGTGATTTAAACTTGCAATTTTTTTGACTACTGGAAGAAATGTTATAAAGAAAAATGACCTTTTTGACTATGTGACATTCAGCTGGTATATCTTTCATTTTGTTTCAATACTGGAACTAGAGCTGGGATGACTCCTACTGGTGAAAAAAGATATTATACTACTACATAGTTGGAAGAGACCTTGAAAAGAAGTCAGGATTGATAAAAAGAAGGGAAATAAAGTGAAGAAAGGCAAACAACACCTGAAACAATGGATTATTTTGATTAGAACTTAGTACAAGTAGAATGAGAAAGAGCAGGGAGGATACCAGCTGGCAGACAAGAGAAAGACAGTAGCTATTAGATTTGCATTCTGGCAGTTTGGGAGTAAATGGTGAGCCTTTTGAAGACTTTCAAAGTAGTGCAGATGTAAATAACACGGTCTTTTTTTTGGAATTGCTTTGAACTCCTCTTCAGTTTGAATGATTGATGCTGGTGGACTAATGAAACATGAGGGAATTTGATGGGCCACTCTGGCTTATAAATACTGTTTATAGAACATCCTACGAAGCAAAAGAAGAAAAGTTAAACAAGATCTACAAATTTAGACAATTTAAAGGAAGTAAATTGACCGACTGAGGAATATAAATATAGTTGATTCTGAAAAACAGTTCTGCCCTTTTGTTTTTTCTATTTTACTTTAATATTTTGTTGATAAACTATTTGAATAATTTCAATCAACCCAGTGAGGGTGAACAAGGCCCACAGATCAACATAGGGCACATGTTTAGCATGTAGAAGCTCCCAGGCTCAATACCTCACATTTCCAAATAGGAGGATCAAAATCTTGAAATTGTTTCCCATAAAAGTAACCTTTGATTTACAACAGTTTGTTTAGTGACTGTTCAAAGTTAAAACGGCACTGAAAAAAGTGACTTATGACTGTTTTCCACACTTAACAACCATTGTAGCATTCCCATGGTCACGTGATCAAAATTTGGATGCTTGGTATCTGACCCCCAGGGTCATTTTTGCAACCTTTTGCAACCATCTGTTAAACAAAGACAGTGGGGAAGCCAGACTCATTTAACAAACATGTTACTAACTTAACAACTGTAATGATTCATTTAACAACAGTGGCAAGAAAGGTCATAAAATGGGGCAAAATTCACTTAACAAATGTTTCACTTAGCAACAGAAATTTTGGGTTCAGTTGCAATCAAGGATTTTCTAGTCAAGATATTTTTGACTAGATATTCTAGTCAAGGATTAAATGTATTCCTAAAACTGATACCCAGAGGAATGGAACAAATGAGCACCTAAGAATGGCAAAACATAACAAACAAAGTAGATGAAATGTGAATGTTTTGTACTTATCTGATGAATACCATCAAATTCTTTACTTTCAAAATCAATAATAAAATATAAAAATATTCAGAGGGGCCCTTGTAGATACTAAGAACAATTATTCTGTGTACAACCTATATCTCTGTATTCATTGCCAGCCTTGTTCTCAAGCACATCTGTCATGATTTTATTTCTTGCTTCCTTGTCTTGCAGGTGTCTTATGTAAAAGCTATTGACATCTGGATGGCTGTATGTCTTCTTTTTGTCTTCGCTGCATTGCTTGAATATGCGGCAGTGAACTTTGTGTCAAGGCAGCACAAAGAATTTTTGAGGCTTCGAAGAAGGCAAAGGAGGCAACACAAGGTACAATATCCTATTTTCAGCATAATTATAACTGCCATAAAAGGAATTGAGAATTTAAAAGAAATTCATTTACTGCCAGTGGTCTTCGTAATTGGCATCATACAAATGAGGACAATCACACCCACATTTAGTCAATATTCAGACTAAATGGTCTTTGTACTCAAACTTATGACATTTAACCAACTTTAAATTAATTTTGAATATTACTTTCCTATTTAATGTAAATGACTTTTCAACACTTGTCCTTAACTGATACTTTTGAATTATTCTGATAATTATGAAAAGGTTTAAATTCTGCTTCAGTTGCCATGGAATCAGTCATAGTATACACAGTATCAGCTAAGATTTTTTTTTAATGTAAAGGAATGGAAGGGCTACTAAAAATAATCTATTTATTCTGAGCTGGTTTTGTCTTGGATTTCCTTTAATATTTACCAGGCCATTTAACTCTACTATTTTGGCCATTCATTTATTATTTAATTTTCATAGTCAGCTCCAACTGATTTCCTTCTAAATTTCTTCCTGCAGTTCATTCTGATGCCGTTCACTAATTATGTCATTCTTTTTGTTATTTTACCTTGTTCCATATGTCATTGCATCATTTCCATTTTTATTTTATTGTTTTACTGTTTGCTGATCAACAAATTTGAAAACAGACCACAGGCTGGGACCATTGGAAATAAGGATATCAATTCATTAAGTGAATGGCTTGAGGGTAAAAGCATCATCAACATATGGAACAATGGAAATTAGAGCGCCAGTCCAAATTTCTGGATAAATTGAGAAATGGACAAGGAGACAAGAAGCTAATATATGCATGATATTATAAACTGGCAATCACCATTATTCATGAGATCATATATATATTCCAGTTCTTCTGTTAGACAAAATGCTCTTCTAAGTTTCATGAACTGTCTGTGTACTTCTTTTGTCCTGGATTTCTTCTAGATTTCCATCAACCTAGTTCAATGCAACTTCAGTATCTCATTCCATTTGGACTGATATGGATTTTGGTAGTTCAGTTTTACAATGCACAGTTATTGAAAACATTATGCAGTAATTAGATGGTAACAGGTGACATTAAATCAGGTTCAATTCCCGGTGACTACATTGTCTACATTCAGATTGAATGAATCATTCTTTTTGCAGTCTATAGTGTAACTGCCTCCAAATCCTTATTTCCTAAGTATCCAAGCACATATACATGCATGTGAGAATTCACCTACCTTTATTACGATGGTTTGTTACACAGTCAGACAGATGTTTATATTAGTTTTGGCATTTTTATCCACTTATTGAGTTCTTACCAAAGACCTGGAATAGGCAGATGTTGTTAAAAGTATCATCACATGATGTAAGCAATTCCAAGTAAAGCTATCTTTTGTAATTGACAGATGGTGATTTTATCAATGCTGATGGTGTTCAAGCGGTGGTTCAATTGTTTTGGGATTGTACCCAAGGCACCTATTACTATTGTTATTGGCAGTTTTATATGCAGCTGACTGGAATAGGGTGTGATTTTCACTACAAGAATGATACATTGGAAAATATTTACTCCACAGACAACATGAACTTAATTCTCATTTTCAGTTTATAGATAATTCTTTATTTTTGACCATTTGTTTATCAATTGTTCAAAGTGACAACAGTGCTGAAAAAAAATGACATATCTTACGCTTATGACTATCACAGTGTCCCCATAATCATGTGATCATAGTTTGGGTGCTTGGCAATTGGCATGTATTTACAATAGTTGCAGCATGCTGGAATCACGTAATCACCATTTGCGACTTTCCAACCAGCTTACAACAATCAGTCAATTGGGAAGCTGGATTCACTTAACAACAGTGGCAAAAATGTTCATAAAATTGGGCACAGTTGCATAATGGCTCACTTAACTTTACTGCTTAGCAACAAAAGTTCCAGTCCCAATTTTGGTCATAAATTAAGGATTATCTGAAGTTTGGCCTTCACAAAGTGAGGAAATTCCTTTGAATTGCTAGAATTCATTTTTGTCATCTTATTTGGTCCAAGAAGTTGCTGAGTCAAATAAAAAAGTGCACATTCCTTAATAGTCCACTAAATATTTCTACGAGTATCTCTAAGAGAGCTTAAAAACAATATCCATCTTTAGTCAAATGTTTTTTAGTGGCCACTCCCTCTGAACATGAAGATTTCATGAAATGACAAATAGTCTTTAATGTTTTATTTTCTGTGACTGAGTTCATCATTTTTTAGAGTTATCTACATTCATAATCATTATTACATCGTAATGTCATATTTCCCCTTTATGAATTACTGCCTTGCTGTGGCGAAAGGGCTTGCATAGCTCAATGAAGCTATGAGCTATGCCGTGCAGGGCCACCCAAGACGGACAGGTCATAGCAGAGAACTCTGACAAAACGTGATCCACTGGAGAAGGAAATGGCAACCCAATCCAGTATCTTTGCCATGAAAATCCCATGGACAGTACCAAAAGGCAAAAAGATATGACGCTGGAAGATGAGCCCCTCAGGTCGGAAGGTGTCCAATATGCTACTGGGGAAGAGCAGAGGGCTAGTACTAGTAGTGCCAGAAAAAGTGAAGCAACTGGACCAAAGCTGAAAGGACTCTCAGCTGTGGATGCATCTGGTGGTGAAAGGAAAGTCCGATGCTGTAAAGATCTATTCTCCATACGAACCTGGAATGTAAGATCCATGAATCAAGGCAAGCTGGACATGGTCAAACAAGAGATGACAAGATTGAACATCGACATCTTAGGAATCAGCAAACTAAAATGGACAGGAATTGGTGGATTTAATTCAGATGACCATCAGGTATACTACTGTGGGCAAATAGAATAGGGAGGACTAGAGATCTCTTCAAGAAAATTGGAGATATGAAGGGAACTTTTCATGCAAAGATGGGCATGATAAAGGACCAAAATGGCAGGGACCTAACAGAGGCAGAAGAGATTAAAAAGAGGTGGCAAAATTACACATAAGAACTATACAAGAACGAGCTTAACGTCCCTGATAACCACGATGGGGTGGTCACTGACTTCGAGTCAGACTTCCTAGAATGTGAAGTCAAATGGGCCTTAGGAAATCTGAGCAACAACAAAGCTAGTGGAGTTGACAGTATTCCAACTGAGCTATTCAAAATCTTAAAAGACGATGCAGTAAAAGTGCTACACTCAATTTGCCAGCAAATTTGGAAAACTCAACAGTGGCCACAGGATTGGAAAACATCAGTTTACATTCCAATTCCAAAGAAAGGCAATGCCAAAGAATGTTCAAACTATTGCACAATTGCACTCATTTCACATGCTAGTAAAGTTATGCTTAAAATCCTACAAGCTAGGCTCCAGCAGTATGTGGATCGAGAATTACCAGAGGTACAGGCAGGATTTTGAAGAGGCAGAGGAACTAGAGATCAAATTGCCAACATACGCTGGATCATGGAGAAAGCTAGTAAGTTCCAGAAAAACATCTACTTCTGTTTCATTGACTATGCTAAAGCCCTTGATTGCGTGGATCACAACAAATTGTGGCAAGTTCTTAAAGAGATGGGAATACCAGACCATCTTATTTGTCTCTTGAGAAACCTATATGCGGGTCAAGAAGCAACAATGAGAACTGGACACGGAACCACTGATTGGTTCAAAATTGGGGAAAGAGTCTGGCAAGGCTGTATACTGTTACCCTGCCTATTTAACTTATATGCAGAGCACATCATGAGAAAGGTGGAGCTAGATGAATCACAAGTTGGAATTAAGATTGCCAGGAGAAATATCAACAACCTCAGATATGCAGATGATACCACTCTAATGGCAGAAAGTGAAGAAAAACTAAAGAGCCTCTGGATGCAGGTGAAGGAGAGTGCAAAAGTTGGCTTGAAACTCAACATTAAGAAAACTAAGATCATGGCATCCGGCCCTCTCAAATTCTGGCAAATAGATGGGGAAGAAGTGGATGTAGTGACAGATTTTATTTTCCTGGGCTCCATGATTATTGCAGATGGGGACTGCAGCCAAGAAATTAAAAGAGGCTTGCTCCTGGGGAGGAAAGCTATGGCAAATCTAGATAGCATACTAAAAAGCAGAGACATCACCCTGCCAACAAAAGTGCCTAAAGTCAAGGCTATGGTTTTCCCAGTTGCCCTGTATGGCTGTGAAAGTTGGACCATAAGAAAGACTGAGCACCAAAGAATTGAGGCCTTTGTACTATGGTGCTGGAGAAGATTCCTGCAAATCCCTTGGACTGCAAGGCTATCAAACCGGTCAGTCCTAGAGGAGATCAACCCTGACTGCTCTTTAGAAGGCCAGGTCCTGAAGATGAAACTCAAATACTTTTGGCCACCTAATGAGAAGGAAGGACTCACTGGACAAGAGCCTAATGCTGGGAAAGATTGAGGGCAAAAGAAGAAGAGGACGACAGAGAATGCGGTGGCTCGATGGAGTCACTGAAGCAGTTGGCGTGAGCTTAAATGGTCTCTGGGGGATGGTAGAGGACAGGAAGGCCTGGAGGAACATTGTCCATGGGTCACAATGGGTTGGAGACGACTTCGCAACTAACAACAACAACAACAATGTCATATTTCCTTTTTGGAGATACTCATATCTGGATGGAGTCTAAGTATTATATACTCAACTTACTGCAATTTATAATTTGTCATTTTAAAAGATTCTTTTGAAATTAGTGGTATTTTGTATTGTAAGGAAAGTGTCAGGCTTGTGATCAAGACATAAAACACAGTGCATGATGCAAACATCCTTTTGTTGTTTCCTCTGAATAATTTAACAAGCCCTTGTCACAAGTCAAGCAGGATACCATCTCTCTCTTAAAAGACGAAAAGTCATCACAACACTGAGAGCCAACATTTCATACAGCATTAGAACTGACAGTGTTTATTCTGATGTTAGCACTTACGTTACCTAAACCTTGAGACTGATGACATCAGAACAACAAGAGCAGAAAGGAAAAAATTAATTGATGTTATATTAATAAAACATTGAATAC